AACCAGACCTACAACTTTCATCCACCTGGTTCAGGGTGACTTGGTCTCAGGAAAATCAACACTACTGTGGATAGGTGGGGGATGCTGGAATTACTAACATGGGTAGTGTGAATAGTGTTTAGTAGTATCTGTGGGTCAATTGATGGTAAGGGCTTTGGTTTTTTGTCTTTTTTTTTTTTTTTTTTTCAGAACTGGGAATTGAACTCAGGCCCTTACACTTGCCAGGGAAATGCTTATTCTACTGAGCCATCTCCCCTGCCCCAAGGGCTTTGTTTTGAAGGAAGAATAAAAGATGGCTCATTCTAAGGATTGTATATCAGAGGGCCTGGCTGGCCACCAGCTATAGCAGAGCCCCAGGGAATCTTACACAAGCATCATGTTCAATACTTAACTCAATACTTAGTTCTCATGGGTTTGATAAATCACTGCCATGGTTTGGGGTTTTCGCAAGGTGAACAGTATAGTACAGGACACGTTTCATTATAGTGTTTAATAATGAATCACCCAAGAACCACATACTACAAACGCACTCAGCACCATGCTAGTTTAATTCAGCTGGGTGTAATAAGTTCACCACCTGTTAGAAATACGACAATCATACAACACACACACATTTTTAGCCAGAGATGTTATTTCCACAGAGGCAACTTGGTCAGAACTTGGCAACAGTGTGAGCTTCTTTGGGAATCTTATTCTATGCTACCTGTGATTTTAGATTTACATAAATACCAGAGCTTGCATGGAGAAATTCTTCATGCCTGGATCAGCATGAGTGGAGCTGGCCTCAGAGCCCTGGGCAGCCCTATCACAAACTGCATCTCTGGCACTCTGCGGGACACAGCCAGCCTGAGGTGGGGCCAAATTCTGAGTGTATCCACTCACATTCTAAATATAAACTTGAGATTGCCAAGGCTGGACGGCCTGGAGCAATGTGGTATGATCTCCACATTTTAAGAAGGCAGAAACAGAAGTCCCGCTCATGTCTAGCTTGTTAAACTGGGAAATGGTGGGAACTATTGTGGCTAAACATAGCAGGTTTCCATGAAGTCTGGGAAATCTTGGTTATGGTTAGTTCTTGCTTATTGGTCAAATAACCGTGACAAAGTACAAGTATTTGAAGACATGGGTGATGTTCTAGTTTCCAGGTTTTGCAAAGGGAACAACACAATACAGGACACATATTTTGTAAGATTATTTATAATAGTCATCAAAACAATCATATACAAAAAGGGAATGCAGGAAATCTGTCCACACACTGAAGACTAAAGACTCCAGCTGAGTGTTGGAGTCATATCCTGCTGGAGTCATATGCCACAGCGATATCCTGCATGAGTCCAGCTGAAGACCTAGAGCCTATAACAATGCCTCCCACGAGTCCAACTGGAGGCCTAGAGCCCAGAGCAATGCCTCATGCAGGCCTGCCTCATGGATCTGCACTGGAAAGGCCCAAAGGTCAGTGGTGGAAGCTAGAAAGTCTATGCAAGCAGGATGAAGGGTCTGTGCTAGCAGGCCGAGGGATCTGCCCTGGAGCCAGGAAGCAACGCTCAAGGGAAGAAGCAAAGCTCCCCTGAAATGTACCACACCTCCTCGGCAACAGTGAGGCCTCGAGCTCCTCTGATGATGGGAAAAGCTGAGTTCCCATCAGGAAAGCCACCATGACAAGCTTCTTCCAGGAGGCTGAGCAGTGCACCATCTTCCCCTCCAGAGCCAGGAGGCAATGCTCAAGGAGAGGACCAGAGCACCCCGAAAGTGAACTGTAGCCATTCTCAGTGATAAGGTCCCAAGTTCCTCCTCTAATGAGAATGGCCAAGTTCATCAGGAAAGCCAGCATGACAAGGTCCTCCAACAGAACAGCCTGAGAGAACCAGCAGTTCCCAGCTCCCAACAGCCTCCCTTCTTCTCTCTACTTCTGCCTCTTACACTGCCAGCAGCAATCCTCAGGTTGGTCCCACACACGCAGCATCCCACTGGTTCAGTTCAGCTGGGTGTTACAAGTTGACCCCCAGTTGTCACCACCACAGGTGAGTACAGTGAGGCCAGGGGTAGAACGCCACCTGACCAGGAGGTCTGAAGCACTGTTGTCTCTGGGGAGGCCTAGCTAAGCTCTTTAAGCTGTTCTGAAATTCCATTCTAATTTACTTTGAAGCTAAAGAATTGCTGTGACTCTCCTTGTAACCAAGAGAGAGTGTACACATACGGTGCAATTTTTAAAAAGTACTATGGGATGTTTGCAGTTTTTCAAAAATGCATTACAGTAAAAGACACATTGCCATTGATCTTGCTCAACACACTCCCTCTTACTTTGAATGCGCTTACCCATCATTCTTTCCACTTCTGACGCTGTCCTGGAGTCCTCTTTGATGAGCATCTTTAGATGTGCTGCTACAACCCCTCCAATGTCCCAAATCAATTCAAACTGTTTGCCTTTCCTGGTCATTTTGACTTCTGGGAAGAGCCGGAAGTCTCACCGTGCCAGAACTACTGAATAAGGTGGACAAGGGGACACCACATGTTTTTTGTTGTTGTTGTTTGTTTGTTTGTTTTTACCGACTTGCTTTTCCATTAGATGGTGCTCAGCAGCACTCACAGGGCTTTGGCTCCATCTCATAAAGGCTCAAAAGAAGCTTCCAGAACTGCTTCAGAAAGTGGCAAGAGTGACAGAAGAAGAGTGTCTGGAGTGGGACTATTAAGAGGGGGATTAAAAATGATATATCGTTTCCATTTTTAAATACATTCTAATACATTTTCAAAATTTAAGCATTATGTCGAGCACAAGCCATCACATATCTTAGCAGGCTCACCCTGCCCTTTTGGCTCCATCTTCAGACCTTAAGAAACCTTGTCCAATCTTCCAAATAACCTTATGAAGTAGGAGCCATCATTATGCTAATTTAAAAAAAAAAGGAAAGAAAAGAAAAAAACAATGTGGAAGGCACAGTATTGAGTGCAGAGAGGCTGAGAAACGTGACCTCGGAAACAGAGGGCACATCTGGGATGCAAAGCCAGTGACCAGGCGCTTAACCACGAAACTGAGGATTCTAGGACAGTTGCAGAATGTCCTACCAGCCTGTCTCATTTGCTTTTGTGACTGAGTACACAGAAGGGCCCCACCATGCACTAATAAGCAGGTCACTGGCTGGGGGCAAGTGGAACTCAAACCTCTAGGAGACTGATTGGAGTCCACTTTGGAGTTGTCATGGCTCAGGAAGAAGCTTGGATATTTGCTCAATTTTCTTCCACTGGCCACTCCTGTGGCCATTCACTCCTTGTCTGTCTTGGATGACATATGTGGGTCAAACCTACCCCACAGTCATGCAGAGAGTGTGGGTGCTTGCAGGAAAAGTCACACATGTAAGTGGCATGGGGACCTGAATCAAAGACGGTCTCTGTCCTTGATACTTGTGTTAAAGTTTGTCATTGGCCAGAAAGTTTACATGCTTCTCATCTTAGGGTTTGCAAATATGTGGCCCGCCAAACACAAACCAGAACTAGCTGTAAGTCATTCTTAGATTAAAGTTGAGAAGATTCTTTTGGTTGCAGGTACAGAAACCAAACTGCTGGAAATGTTAAAATGGGACTTCACTGAGCACATCCCAGTAAAGATTAGGACACAGCTGGTCTCTGGGATGAACGGAGATAACAGATCCCAGTCCCCTGGTATAAACCTTCTCTATGTCTGCTCTTTTTTTTATTGTACAATAGCTTCTTTGATAAGGCAGAGGGTGTGGCAACTTATAGTCCCCCAGCTTCCTCTCCAGAGGAGCCAACCTTCTTTCCTTGCAGGCTTCTCTGAGGGTATCCACAGTGGGCTGCAGGGCCTGAAAGATGGGCCCACCCCCTGGTCCATCCATGGAAAGTGGGCATTCACCACCATCTCTCACATGGTGGGCAGGGAGGAGAGAGAGAATTCCCCTAATGAAGGGCAGTGGTGAGGTTTCCAGCAGAACGGAGAAAGGCGGGGTGGACAAAACACATCTCCAAGGACAACAGCAGCCTCACAGATGATGTGCTGGAGAAAAAGTCAATTCTCTGCATAAAAAGCACTTTATTGTACAACTAAAAAAGGAAACGAAGAGGAAATGAAGTCATTAATTTTATTAGGAACAAAGTAACTCTGCTAGCATTGGCTGTCCCCGCCGCAGCATATGAACTGGCATTTTAACTAACGCCAGGGTAACAGAGAAGACAACCAAAGATAGGCTAGTCTAAGGAAGCTGGTTCTAGAAGTTTCTTGGCTCCTCTCACCAAACCAGCTCCTCAGGCCCTACTTAAGTAACTTTTTACCTGACCTCTGTGGAGGTCTGTCTTCCTGGTCTGTGCCCACGACTGTCACTGCATACTGATCCTGGGGCCTTGATTAATTCTTCGGACAGGTGCTTGCTCCACACCTGTAATGATCTCATCTAGGAACTATTCTTTGAAAGACACAGAACTACGGTTCACATTTGAGGAGGAATGGCTAGGTGGTACCCTTCTCTTGCCATTCGCTCCCGTTCAACACGCCGGCCAGACGTAAAGAACAAACACCTCCCCCCGGGGCACCGGGACAGGGGCGTGGAGCCTGGCGGGCAGGATTCTCCCTCCATGCAGGGATCCCCGTCCTGCCGACTCCTGCGGCCAGCCTCCCTGTCCTCACCCACCATTTGCCTACCACCTTGCTTCTTCACCCCTCTCTGTCACACTCACACCCTCCACTGTAGAGCCACAGCCGCGGGTTACAAACTTTTGCCCTCTTGGCGCTGCGCTGACCCCGCAGAAGTCACGCTGAATTTCACCCTAGCGGGCGACCCAGGGGACGGCGCAGAAGGGGCGCGACAACTGCAGGGTTGCAGGCGCTCTCTGTCCCCGCCCGGG